TATAGAAATCCTAAGAAATCCTATAGAATTTCCTTGCGAATTCGCTAAGACTTCTATTGAATTTTTTTATACGTGATGATATTCCTTTTAAACGAATCTCAGCTCTAACATCGTTATTTCTAGATTCATTGAAGAGTATGTAAAATGTATGAGACCAGTTTCATTAGCTCTACAAATCCTGCAGGGTGACACTGACGTCAGTTATGGATATCTCCTCCCCACACTTATTTCGACGAAGAACAAATTAACGAAATTGCTCAGTGAAGATTTGACTTATTGTAAGCCATTGGTCACTGTCCTGGCAACGAGCTTGCAAACCAGGTAATCGTGTTGCGATGTCCGTGTTGATATCCTCGAATATATAATAATTATATGCTTTTTGATACAGATTTTCCAATTATTTCAATGTTGACGAGGATGGAGAGGCTGCGGCTGTAGCAGCGGCAGTTCATCCTAAATTTAAACTACGCTGGCTTCCATGTTTGGACACAAGCGCTCAAAAGAACGTTAGGAATGCCATTACAAATGCCATCATTTCCTGCCGTAGCCCCTCAGAAAATATTCAAAGTAAAGAAGAACCACTCATCGATGGCTTCGATTTTGATGTTGGGGGCCAAACTCAGGCCACTATACAATGTAATCTGGAAATAAGTGCTGATGAGACTGATTTCAGGAGATTTTGCAATGATACCAAAACTGATCTGTCTCTTCTACATGCATACCCTGCAGTCAAAGCAATTTATTTGAAGTTTAACACTTTATTACCATCATCAGCCTCAGTCGAAAGACTTTTCAGTTTTGCTGGGATGTTTGACATTGCAAAATTCAATCGTCTGACTGATGCAAATTTTGAAAAAAGAGTATTGTCTAAAGCAAATCGAGTCATGGAAATTGTAGAATATACCAACGATGACTAGCATTATTTTTCCCAATCCTCATCAGCAGCTAGGGGATATTTCTCGATATTGTTAAACGTTAAAAGTTAAGTTGAGTTTTGATATTGTTAAAAGTTGTCAACAATCTTTCGTTACGTTCATATAATAAAAATGAATTTTTCATAATTTATTTGTTTAAGATGATTATTGAAAAATATTTGTCAGTTATGACAGTTTGATTAAATATTCACCCTCTTCATTTACCGAATTTTGATCACAGAAATAATCGATCAACGATATATTTTGGATGCTGAGTACCTACCACATTCAAGTTTCTATTCATGTTCGATTCCCAATTATTGAGGTAATTGAGAATTCTACTATTCTGATTACACGGTTTCAAATCTCCTGAGAATTCTAACTTGTTAATATTTATTGTTCGAGTAATTGAAAATATTACGCTTCAGGTTGATAATGAACAAAATAATTTTTTGACTCATAACGTGAATTATGCATTATGGAAACAATAATGAATCTTCCAGTTCCTGGGCTCAATTAATTTAATAATCGAGAATTTTTTAATTTCAGTTACCCATTGACTGAGTAATTAACCATTTCATATTTCAATTACAAATTACTCGAGTAATCAAAAACGATCGAACTTGATTGTGCATTGCGCGCATAATCAAAAATCTTGCTGTTAGAGATGACTAATTATTTAATAATTCATTATGAAATGTGTGGCAATTTTTTGAATACAAAAATAGCCAGTAACTAGAGTAGTAATATTACAAAAAGTAATCATTACTGGGGATCCCTG